TCTCAAAAAAAAAAGAAATTCATCTAAGCAAGAGATGATGTCACATGGCATAGAGTGGGCAGTGGTAAATCTGGGAAGAAGTGATCAGATTAGGGATGTATTCTGGATGTGTAACTGACAAGTCTTGCCAATGGATTAGATGTAGGGTGAAAGAGAATGAAAGATTTCCAAGATGACTCATACATTTTTGGCCTGAGCTGAGTATTGATGCCATTTACTGAGATAAAGAACACTGTGGGAGGAACAGGTTTAGAGAGAAAATCAAAATTAAACTGAGATGGCTATGAGGCCATCAAATGGAGATGTCACTCCTATAGATGTAAGTATGAATGTGGAATGCAGGAAAGAGGTCACAGCTAGAGATCTTCGTGTGGGAGTTCTTAGCACGCACATGTTATTTAAAACCATGGAGTTGGTTGAAAAGACTGTGGAAGGCAGTGTAGGTGAAGTTGTCCAAGTTCAGAAAGTAATGACCACAAATACAGTTCTTTTAAAGAAATTTTTTATTGGGTGGCACCTGTGGCTCAGTGCGGAGGGCACCAGCCCCATGTACCGAGGATGGCAGGTTCAAACCCAGCCTTGGCCAAACTGCACCAAAAAATAGCCAGGCGTTGTGGCAGGCACCTCTGGTCCCAGCTGCTCAGGAGGCTAAGGCAAGAGAATTGCCTAGGCCCAGGAACTGGAGGTTGCTGTGAGCTGTGGCGCCATGGCATTCTACCAAGGGTGACAAAGTAAGACTCTGTCTCAAAAAAAAAAAAAAAAGAAATTTTATATAGACTTAGGCAAGGTGGCTCATGCCTGTAATCCTGCCCTTTAAGAAGCCAAGGCAGGATGATTGGTTGAGGCCAAAAGTTCAAGACTAGCCTGGGCAAAGCAAGACTCTATCACTACAAAAAATAGAAAAATTAGTTGAGCATTATGGTATACACCTGTAGTCCTAGATACTTGGGAGGATGAGGTAGGAAGATCACTTGAGGCAAGCAGTACAAGTCTGCAGTGAGCTGTGGTCATGCCACTGTATTCTGTCCTTAGCAATGAAGTCAGACTTCATCTCTTTAAAAAAAAAAAGTTTGGCCAGGCATGGTGGCTCATCCCTGTAATCCTAGCACTCTGGGAGGCTGAGGCAGGTGGATTACCTGAGCTCAGGAGTTCAAGACCAGCCTGAGCTAGAGAAAGACCTTGTCTCTTAAAAAAAAAAA